CATTTGAAAAATCAAAGTTGCTACTGCTTTCTAATAGAAGCGGCAACACCGCATTGTCGAAAATATTTTAGTTGGCTAGAGAATGTCCGAATATGCCCTCCATTAAATTTTCAAAGTGATCCGTTGTCTGGTTCACCAGAAACGTCTAATGTGCCATCCACCGTGAATCAGCCTGTATAACGGTCAGACTGAACGATTTATCAAAATTCGTTTCAAAGAACACACGTCACATATCTGATTTTGGAGACCAGAAAAGTCTAGTGTTGCACAATACGCTTCGAAGAAAGGCCATGATAATAGGCTTCTCGAAGCTTCCGAAGTTCTGGAAATAACAAAACATGGCATGAGAACCATGAACAGGAATTAAGGTTTCATTCCATACAGCTCACTGAAATCTACTTCATATCACAAAGAAGCCAAGTTGGTTGGCGAAACGCTCGTCTTTTGATCGTAGTTTTGATCATCTCCTGAGGATGCTAACTTGGTTAGCTCTACCAGTGTCGAGAGACGGTACTTTTATTTTTATGTGGAAGAAGTGTTTTTGGTAGACTCGTGGAGAAAATAACTTTGTAAGGAACACTCACTGTCGATCAATCCCAAGACTGAGATTGTCCTTTTCACCAGGAAAAGAAGTTCATCAGGCTCAAAACCTCCCGAAATCTTCAAAAGCAAACTAGATTTCTCTGAAGAGGTGAAATACCTTGGTACTATCCTACAGGTGGGTTAAAGGGCACGACAGGAGTAAAGATAATCGCATTGCCGACTCTTTAGCCAAGGAAGCGGCTGGACTAAGAATTCTAGGACCCAGTGGCACCTACGGCCTGATGACGTCGACAATTGTGAAACTAACCAAACCTTGGGCGATCCTGGGAAGCTGGCGCCCAAGAAATATCTGGCAATGACCAGGAAAAATCTATGCCTACCAGTAGGATTTCTGACTGGCCACTGTCAACTAAGGAAAACCTCCATAATATGGGGCTAGTGGACACACCGCTATGCAGGATGTGTGAACAGGATGATGAGACTGGCAGGCATGTCCTATGCGAGTGCCCGGAGTTATCGTCAATAAGAGAGTGTGTGTTCGGCGAGTCTTGGCCTACACCTGCCGATATAAAGGAGATGTCTCCCAGTGACCTGTCCAACTCCCTGGAAAGGACAGGATGGACGATGACCTAGGAGGACAACTCCTCGGGAGGATGTACAATGGGTCACATGTGGCCTTAGTGCTGTGAGCTTACACTCACCCTCCTTACTCTACAGATTCAGAACTGTTTGAATTTGTTTTTATAAATCCCCATACACGCACACTAAACATTGATCGTTTGTCCGACGAGAGAGGAGGAGCCTGCGTTCCGCTGACATTTGCGTGAGAGAAAGGGACATAGGAAGCCATCTCTTCAAAAATTAGCGTCATTTTTTTTATTTCAGACCATACGTCTTCTCATAGTAGTTACTGAGATGTCAAATGTTCGTCGCAACGCCCTATATGAAATTCTCTTTCAAAGTGATAGTATTTGTATTTTTAATCGTTCAATACCTGTCGAAACTGAGGAAAGCATTAGCTGAATAGCAGAATATAATCTTTGGGAAAGAAAGTTTTTGGCTTTCTATTACTCCATCTCGATACGAAAAAAGATGAGGGAATCTTCCAAAGAAAGGAAGGAAATAAGTAACTCTATACATGGATGTGTAGTTCATGCAAAAGGAGTGGTAGAAAGCTAAAAACTTTCTTTCCCAAAAATTAATCACTCCTGAAAATATAACCCCTTCAATTCAGAATATAATCATTCCGTCACTGAAAATGAAAATATGTAATGCGTGTTTCTTTCTTATCAGAGAGCCAATGCTCTTCGACAAATCTATGACCAAACTTTAGAAACAGTCAGAACTGGAATTAAAATAACGAACGTGAGATATATTTTCCGATTTCGTATTAAATTTCCATCAAGAATCCCTTTCACGACAAATGCGGCAGAAATTTGATAAATCGGCGTCACATCCAGGCAGTAAGTCAAGCTGATCCTGAAATATACCTTCTGTCTGTTTGTTTGTACTTGTTCTCAGCGCCACCATTAATCTTAGGAGCAAGAAAATACTTTTCCACGCCATTCGCTGAAAGTTGGCAGATATGAAAATATCGTGCATATGATGAATGAAATAATGGTTGTCGTATTGCAAAAAAACGCCCAGCAAGAAAATATATTATGTCTTTTTAAAGAAAACAAAATCAAACCGCAGACATGACAGATAGTGAATTTTTAAAACAATAATTGAACAATAGTAATTTACGCAAGAAGTCCGAAAAACATTGTTTTTTGGATGAGAAGATAAAATTCTAGGACGAGCAGTAGACGGGTCCTGGAAGTCTGCGAGTCCAAAAAAAATCTGTTTTCGGAAACCGTGTAGAGCAAAATATCGATGAGACACATTTCTTTATTTATATTTCATTTGTAAAACAAAATTTCGAACATTCTGATTCCCATTTGTATTAAATGATGATTGCCCCTCCATTCGACGAAAATCTCTGTCCTCCGATCGCAATTTTTAAATAAGAAAACAAAAAAGTCGCTTGGGACTAGATCTGATGAGTAAGGCGGATGGTCAAGCAGTTCCAACAGTGATGGGTTGTCTTGGTGGAACAGGATTTCCTTTTCCTACAAATGTGGCCGTTTTTTCGCAAGTTCTCTCTTCAACTTGTCAAGAAATAATGCGTAATATGCTCCTGTAATGGTTTTTCCTTTTTGAAGATAATCGAATGGAATAACCTCATGACAGTAGAATGGCTGCAAGAGTTCCAGCTCACTCCTTACTGAAAAACACGTGCGATTTTGAGTAGATCCATTTTGGGGATTTTTGGACCTTAGGCCCAGTTCACACGGAAGGAACAAAGGTTCGCCCTTTGAATCGGAAAGATTCAAAGGGCAAGGACCCCCTTGGGACTCCGTCTCACCTATCGGGGCCAGTTCACACGGAATGGACGTCTGGGAGAGACGAGGTGCGACCCTTTGTCCCTTCCGTGTAAACTGGGTCGGACATCCAAAAATCAACAGAATGGACCTACTCAAATTTGCACGTGTTTTTCCATAAGGAATCAGCCAGAACTCTTGCAGCTATATCACTCATAACTATGCCAAAAAACAATTGCCATCATTTTCCCAGCTGAAAAACCGGTTTTTCTATTATTTGGAACCGGTTGCTCCTTTGCAGTCCACTGTTTGAACTGTATTTTTGTTTCGGGCGTATAATGATGTATCCAAGTTTCATCTACAGTAATTAATCGGCGTCAAAACTCGGTTTTATTGAGTCTCAACTCCGCCAACAGAGCGTTGGAAATGATCATTCAGACATTTGTTTGTATTAAAGAGGTTGAATTTTTTGGAATTCTTGGTATATTTACATGCTGCCTTCTGTTGAAGTCAGAGCAAGAATGTTACATTTCTGTTTCACATTGATTGTTTTTATCTGATAATTTCGGAATGATTTTGGAACTTTTGATTTTGTTTGTAAGTGCAGTTCCCGTATATCCTTCAGCGACATTGGTAGATTTCCAGCCACCGTGCCTTTTCAAATTTGGGATGTTTCCACCATTATCAACAAATATCGTCGCTGAAGTTCGACGAATGCTATGAGCTGTGTAGTTTAAAGGAATGGGTGTATTGAATTTCAAAATGCTGAAATCCCCAAAACTTTGGATTATGGATACCAACAAGCTGAATCCTTTTTCCTTTTTCATAATATATATTGCCTTTACTACAGCAGGTCTTCTTGCTCAGTTAGAACCAAAGTTCTCTCAATATTCCACCTTTCAATAAATGCAGTTACCTTTGAGAAAGTGGCCACGTTTACAGTTTTCTCCACTGAAATGGTACTTTTCAACATGATCCATAAGGTAGAGTATTTGACAGTTTCAGATTATTGCGCCCAATAAGCCTCTGTATTGAATTTCTTCATATCCATCCATCTTGAGAACACTGGACTTCGATTTTTCAAGCAAAAATTCTGCTGTAGCAGCATTTGCTGCATTGGAAGTTGCTTAAGCAAATTTTCAAATTCTTTATCGCTGCTGCTTTCCATAGTTTATTGCGATAATTGCGAATAAAAACCATGGTAACTCTGGAAATTCAAGTTTTCTCCTGAAGCCACCAACTCGGCTTTTGAAACGCGCGTCGGGAATAGTGTATTGCAGTTCTGGTGTTTGAGAAAAGTGCTTGTTCTGGAGGTTCTGGTTTCACCTTCTACTCTAAGCATGGTTATCTTATTTTCACAACTGGATAATTTTACTAATAGTTCTGTATCATTATGTTTGCTACTGATTTTTTCAATGTCATTCTATTATGATTATACTGGAATGAGGAATATTATTATATTTATTACCGCTACATTGGTTTTGATGTTGCACCACGAACGAGATGAAGTCTTAGCTTCTTTAGAGTCAATATTAATCTACTGCGTTACCAAATACATAATAAGAAATATGAAAATACTGTATATTTATCTGTCTATAACCTGACCAACATTTTTGAATAAAGACTCATAGTATCCATTTTTATTTCAGGTGAAAATATGGTTCCAAAACCGCAGAATGAAGTGGAAGCGAAGCAAAAAAGCCCACCAAGAAGCCAAATCCTCCAAAGAATCTGATTCCAGCAAATCACAAACCGTCTTGAACTCACCTCCAAGCAACTACAAATCGTGTCCTTCAATATCTAGTCCGGAAAGCACGGAAAGTCCAGTACCCATCGAAACCAACCAAGAAGTTCGGAAAATTCAAGAAAGTGAAACTCTTTACAGACCTTACGTTGTTTAAAATCACTTGGACTACAGATCTAGTGTGTTTTGCTCAAGTCGCGGGATGTGTTCCTCGTATGACTAGACTTCTCCAACACATCCAAATCTCGAGAATCATTCAAATATCACACAGCTTTTAGATTTTCATGGCAGCTGATTTGAATGCCATCTCAGTGATGAAGCAGACTCGGGAATAGATTTTTAAGCTGATGAATCCAGATACCAACGAAACAGTATTGATCTAACATCAATGTACAATAAGACTGCATCTGATGAGATCTATAGTAGGTCAAAACAGCGCCAAAACAGCGCCAGAACTGCAATATACTATTCCCGACGCGCGGTCAAAACAGCGCCCTCTGGTCTTGGATCACTAAGGTTTCCTTGGAATATGGGTTTCACCTAATTGCCTTGGTGAAAGCTGCCCATGTAATAGATGGCCTCTTTAGTTAACGAAAAAAGAATCTGATATCAAAACAAAAATAGATGTTGATAACTTGTATGGTGTCTAATCATTGTCCGAAATGAAATAGCTGAAAATGTTTGAACGTCGTCATTTTATGCACAATGCAATTCGCTCATTAAAGTTGTTCCCATATACCTGAATACTAAACCGACCGTCAGACTCTCCAGTAATGGTGAGTAAAGGCGGAGGAAGATAACCAGTAATTAAAAAAAAAGTGTTTTTTTGCATTCCATACTCTTCACAGTTCATTATTCTCAAGGAATATTCAACTAAAAAAGTCGTCAGACCTTGATCTGCGGGTGGATTGTTCGTCAGTCACGCGTAGTAACATAATCCTGAATTTTGAAAGGAGGTAATAGTATGCAGTCTGAATTTTTTTAGTTGACAGTGTGTAGCATGAAAAGTACAAAAATAATCGTCAGACGTTATGGAAATAGTGGAAAACCCGTCAGTCGGGCAATCTAAGTGGATCTCAGCTCTGGGAAAGAATCAAGCGCGCGGCATCTTTTGCGGTCCCACTGACGGACTTTCCACCACGTTCATGTCGTCTGGCGATTTATTTTCTATACTCAAAAATCTATCTCTGAAAAAAAAAGGGTCTGACGACTTTTTTAGTTGAATATACCTTAAGAATAAAGAACTGTGAAAATTATGGAGTGCAGAAAATCACTTTCTTTTTTAATTAGTGGTTGTCTTCCGCAGCTTCCTCCGACTCAACCTATTAAGGTCGCGCGATCTGACGCTCGGTATTCCGTAGCATAAACACTACTTTATCGATTGAATTGCATTGTGCATAAAATGACTCATGAAAAAGTGACACTGGCTCCTGGACTATTAGTTCATTCGATTCGGATACTCATAAATTGGAATAGGTGCGTTGAGATTTGGCTACAGAATATTCTGAAATTAGTTTGTCTTGGGATTTGGATGTTTTGATATTTGGATGACAAATTATCCTAGAAAAGCAGTTTGGTTTTTATTGGATGTGAACATTAATAAATCCATTGGTGCATAAAGGATTTGCTAACAAGAAATGACAGACACTTTGGCTTCTCCCTTTTTTGAACGGGATATTCCAGCAAATTGACAGTCGTCTTGATTTTCGCAACATTTGTAGAATATTTTGTAATATATGTAAATAGTTCGTATTTTAATTTATATTCGACTTGATTGAGTTTGGATCTCTTTAGTTATAAGTACTACCTCATTATTTTTTACGTGTTTTGTCCATGTAAATATTTGAAGTTCCTACAAGTAATAAGATAAGCAGAGGTAACGTATAGATAAAATAAAATTTTATGAGAAATGTTTGGTGTTTCATTTATTGAGTTTCGAATTTAATTTTTTTATTCGACCATAGCAAGATATAGAAAATAGATTGGAAAATAATGCGTTGATAAGATTGTTGTAACTCGAGATTTTAGGGATTATAGATAATATTATACGAGATTAAGGAAAGAACGGGTATCGTTATAACCAGGATGTTTTTCGATAAAATGTCGAAAAGCGGACTGAGGTGATTGAAGAAAAACTGTAGGACAATTAATATTCTGATACGTCAAGAAATAATCCATTCTTGAGAGAATTTATCAGAAGTCTTCACATTTTTATCAATGAAATTTTAATTTTTTAACGAATATCGCGTTATTTAGCAATATCATGATAGCAAACAGCATGTTTGTTTGAAGGTGATTGACAATGTTTCATGATGAATTTCACTAGTTCGGACTTGATCGCCACTTTCACCAGTCATAGCCAACATATATATGGAGTGGATTGAAACTCTGGCCATTGAAGAAGCCCACAAGAAACCTCGAGTCTGGTTGAGATATGTTGACGACACCTTCATAATATGGAACCAAGGCAATACTGAACTAGATGCCTTCCTGAAACAAAGACGAATAGTTTTATCAATTGCTAGTGGCTGCATTGATATTGCTCAAAACAGTTTGAGTTTACAAAAATGGGCATTTATGTGAAACAATTTCAGGTCAAGTGGTATTCTGAATCTGAATAACGGTAAATTTCAAATAAAACATGCGAGCGGGATGGCCATTCTGTAGGACCTCGACGGCCAATCCAACGACCGGGAAAAGTAGTAGCCAAATAGTTTCTTACTTGACTGGAGGTGTGGTGGTTCTCCATCTTGTTGGAATACAATATCCATATCGAATTCATTAGGATTCGCTTCGACGATTCCAATGATAAGAGGGTCAATAGTAGTTTCCAGCATATTCAAATACAGTTCCGCTGTTAAATTTTGATTAATAAGTAGAGGTCCTACAATATGGTTTCTGAATATTCCTGCCCATACGTTAATTTTTACTGGATATTGGGTATGTGTTTCCCGGAAAAAGTGAGAGATGGTGTCGCTCCAATAACGGCAATTTTGTCTGTGAAAATTGCTGTTTAAAAAAATATACATTCGTCACTTGAAGAAATATTGTGGAGATAAGTAGAATGCCTTAAATTTTTTCTCCCAATGGACGACAATTGACCATTTTAGAGATTGTTGACGTGGTACCTTTCTACTAGTAAAACCAAAAACTAAGTGAGAATATTCTAACTGAACAATGATGTTCATTGTCGTACTGTCATTTTTTGACGTTTTTATAAACAAAAAATAACTTAACGAACCTTATCGGGTTGTTAGAATTGCAGATAAAAAGGAATATTTCTAGAGATATTGATAATTATTGTTTGTCTTCAGGAAATTATTAAGTGCTCCGCCATTTTGTAGTAGGTGAATATTGTACATATCGACTTCATATTCTAGGGTTGTGAAGTATTCATCGGAAGCTTCAAAATGATGTGCCACAAGACAGCCCTTTCCATTTAATTTTTTTCCCAGATGACACCCAGTTGCCATCTTGAAAGTTTCATCTGTCAATTCGACTTCAAAATAAAGTATTCATGCGTTAATTTCTTTGTCCCGAATTTCAATTGTTTGAGTTGACCCGTTCAAAAAATATAAGTGGGGAGAACAATAAAAGAAATGCACTGTATACATGTTGATATTCAAGGTGGAGTTTGAATTTAATGATTGTTGTTTTATTTTAGTGAAGTTATGTGAATCAGTGAAGTGTGGCAAGTCATTGTTCATTTCCGTATCTTGTATCTGTTATTTGATTTACATATTCATTTAAGTTAGTGTCTAGTCACTATCATAATCATAATATCAACCTGTCGATATCTGTAGAAGCATTTCTGCAAAGTTTCAATATTTAGTCGCAATTATACGTGGACTTCACTTTTAATCGATCTTGACCATCTTTTCTCAGTTATGGCTAGGTTGAATGACGTCATTTACACGCCAATATCCCACGTTGGTGTCGAGGCTAACGAACACCAAATTTCGTAGGATTTTTTTATTGAAAAAGATGAAAATAAAAAACCAAAAACTCGGTTATTTGAATTTTTCACGTAAAGTTTGAGGTTATGTGAAAAAATTGTGAATACAAAAGTTGCATTTCCCTCCTGTTTACCTATTCTCATGGTTGTATTATAAAGAGATTTCCTCGAGTTCATGGTGAATTCAGCTGAGATCCTAGAGAATACGTTCAATATCTTTTTGAGAATGAAATCAAAATTCGCATTGAATATCAAACTATTTTCTACCATAAAACCTTAAATATTCAAATTTATCCACCTGCAATCGTTAAATTCAAAGTAATTGTATTAACTAAGGTTACTTTACAATGTATTGCTAGAATCATACTCCTCGTTTTTGAGGTATTAAGTTTGAGTTTATTCCGGTTCGAATCAGTGCCAATTTTTTTCTAATGATAGGCTCATTTTGTTGATTGCCACCAGCAAGTTAGGATCTGATATCGATAACAAGGTATCGTCCGCAAACGAAATGGTGAAATTATATTTTTGAAGTTGAATAGAAATTCATTTTCACTCTGATTTTGAATCTAATCCAACCTAACTTAAAAAGCTGTATGCAATTCAGCGTATTGCGAGAGTATGCAAATCACCCTAACTATTTTCTGAGTGTTTTCGTTCAACGTATTTTTTTGACACCAAAGTTGTTTGGTATCTCTGTTAGCTGGAGAAAAACCAGAGTTACCCCCGTACACAAAATTAGCAATAAGAAACTACAGACCCATAACCCATTACCAATTTATGTGCATTTAGTAACTTTGTTACGAATGGAATAAAAAATGGCTATCAAACAGACGTTACATACACTGACTTGGCGAAGGCATTCGACAGAGTTAACCACGATGTTTTGATCCTGAAATTAAAAGCATTCGGTTTCACAAACAACACACTGATTTCTTGCACTGCTATATATCCAACAGAATACAGTTCGTACAGTTCAACAACGTATCTTCGTTTTAATTCGCCGCTACTTCGGGAGTTCTGCAGGGCTCGATTTTGGGAACTCTCCTTTTCGTGTTATTTGTTAATGACGTTTCTCGGTATATCGGGCATTCTCAATTTCTCCTATATGCTGAGGATCTCAAGCTGTTTAGAAGAATCTAAAGCGAAAAAGATTCTGATATGCTTCAAGATGATCTCAATAATCTATCTACTTACTTTTCAGTATCTGACCTATCTCTTAACGAAGCTAAATGCAAAATAATAAGTTTCACACGAAAGATGACACCCACTATCAAGGACTATTTCATTGTTCACCACCTACTTACAGAGAATCAATGAGATGAAAGATCTCGGGATCATTTTACTGGTATGTTCAGTTTCTCTCGTCACATTGAAAACTTAGTATCTGAATGTTATAGAAAAATGAGCTAGTCGGGAATTCAATCACGATACTTGTTTGTTACTCTTTAACTCCATTGTTCGTTCTAAGCTGGAATATGTTTGTGTCATTTGGAATCCAAAGACCTTTT